TATAATCAATGTATTTTAAATATTTTATCTTAAAATACATTGATTATTTTGCTCTGATCGTTAAATCACGATCGCATTACATAATTACGAAACAGTTTGAACTTGGAAGAAATATTTCTGAGCGTTAGATGCGTTGTCACCCCACTGATAAGCAAATATTCGTTCAACTGATACGGGAAACAGTCGATAAGGGGAACGATTACGCGCAAACGGGGTGTGATACCTATTAGGTGACTATTAGGTACCCGATAACGCGACACGTATTATTGATATAATACTTCATTGCACGATGTTATCTGAACGGATGTCCACTAATACGCATATCTCTGATTACACATTTTTCAGATAATCAGATGTGCGCTATAATTAATCCCAATGACTCGCGACCATCGCCACGATAAGAAATATTTTGATTATAAATGCATATCTGTGTAATCTTTAAAAATCTTATATTCGGGGATATTTATTCTTTACGAGATAAATATTTATTTTATAAATATATATAAAATTAATCGATATAAAAAATTAGTCATCATCGAAAATTAAAGGATGAAGACGCGACAGAAGGAAAACCGCGATAATCCGATACTATGGTTTATAAAAGAAGAAAACTTGCGATATATAAGAAAGAGGGTCACCTCGATCTTGGAAGAAGTTACTCAAATAATTCCAAAAGTTAAGCTTTTAGAAGACATTTCAATCGAGAAAGAAGTTTGATTGAATAAAAGAAATATATCAGTTTCCAATATGAGGTTCACGGATAATTTGTTCTCTCGTAATCCAGAACCTCAGTTCCTATCTCATTCTATTTTTCTTATAATATTGCGAAAGACGTTAAGACAAATTCAGTGACAGTAAACTAGAAAATAATTCTCACGAACTTTCGTGTCTCGCGGTTTATGTTAATAAAAGAAAATTACGGAAGGGGAAATAAAATGTCTAACTCGGGCGATTTCACCATTTTGTTTAAACTGAACAGTCTCACGAATCAGCCACGATGGGTGGCTATCGGACTTGAGTTAAATTAATGACGCGATAATATCGATTACAATACCGTCTTGATACCCGCCGCGCGCGGACACCAAGAATCCCTAAGAAGACACCGCGGAATCGTCCATCCGCTCGCACCCTCGCCACATTTTCACGCCTATTTGCCTCTCCTTCAGACCTCCACGGTCACGTGGAGAAGCTTCGTGCGTCTCTCTCTGTACCACTCTCGCGCCGATCCTTCACGCAAGCTCTGATTGGTCGAGGGGGAAGCATCGAGGGTGGCATCGCTATCCCCGTTGCACTCGGCGGAAGTACCTCGCTGTATCTCACCCCCGCCGAAGGATCTGTGGGTGTGTAGCTCGGACACGCCCGACCCGCGGTGGGCGTAGTCAAAAGCACTGGCAGTTGCAGCGATTCTATTCTAGTGGGAGAAGCTTTTTCGTCGGACACGCGGTCATTCGCGACGTCACTTTGCGACGCGACGCCGAGCCGCATTGCTCGTGGTCGTCGGCTTCGTGTGAAGACCGTGACTCGTATAATCGCGGAATCGATCGGTTGCGAGGAACGATTATATCGATCCACCAAGTGCGGCTGACCGAGCTATGGATCAATTAACAATTGTTCCGATGACACGTCCACGTAATGACGTTCGAAACTGTGCGAAACGTCGCTGAGAGATTTACGCAGGTACACCACCATCGCTAGATCACCTATAATCGATCGGTTTAAGGAATTACAATCATCAATCGGATGAAAACTTCATTGTAACTAGAATTAGTCTGCGTCAAGTGTTGATTTTGAAGATCATCTTGGTATCAATCAGATCAAGACGTCATTGATCTTTTAGACATTGTTATATACAATTCGTTTGAGTCAGTGTCAGAGGCAGGGATCGTTATATTGCTCAAGTGACACCTAGATTCGGTTGGAATCCAATAGTGTTGACATTGCAAGGACATAATCTCACCAGAAAGTATGTGTTAAAAATCTACAGTGGTCGCAGGATATGGCAGCTATGCATTACAACGCGCAGATGGTCTCAGAAGACTTGCATCAGCATCCGCGACATCTCTACAGCCTTCAACAGAGACTTCAGGATCCCGGATCTTCGCCCAGATCGGAGGATGCCAGATCGCCGCTGGACAGCCGAGTGAGATCGCTCGAGGAAGTGCGTTTCGTGGGTGCTAGATCGCCGGACGTGGAAGATAGAGTAATCAGATATCACGAGGATGCCGGAAGTAAACGTTTCCCGAAAGACCACTCGGGGCCTGTTTTCTTCCAGGATTCGGAAAACTCGTCCAGAAAATGTTTTAGCGACGGAATAGCGACGAGTCGTTGCCGCGAGTCGGAAAGCTCTCCCGGAAGGACGTCTTCGCCGCAAAATTACATCCTCAGCTCGTCCAATCAGCACAATAGCTCCATTGGCAAAACGTCTTTCTGCATCGATGCGCTTCTGGGTCGCGCTACGAAGCAGAATGAAATAGAACAATCGTCGGCCGATCGACAGAAATCGTTCTCCAGAAATCACGGTGTCCAATCTGATGGCCTGAATCTCGGTGGCATTCAGGAACGGGAATCCCCCACCGCCATAAGATGTTCCGGAGATCAAAGAACCGCCTTGAGAAATTCTCTAAATCCTTTCGTTCAGCATCACGAATCCGATTCGCCCAGTCTGGAAGCACGAGATAGACACTCCTCCAATCGCGAGACCGTTCTCGGCCTCCATTCCAGCGATTCCGGCGTGTCGGTCCAAAGGGGCCAGTTCAGGCCCGAAACGGGGACCAGCAACTATCGGAACGACCGGCTCGAGAACGTCGAGGACGACACGTCGGTCGACGTGGACCCGACGCGAACCGGAAGCGCCAGTCCCGGGAGTAACGCGAGTCGCAGTCCCGCTTCCAGCCCTCCGATATCTCCCGGCTCGGAGGATCCGTCCAGTAACGGGGTGCTGAGCCATCAGAGCCTCGCATCCGGGCCCTACGGCGTGGGCGCGGCGGTGGTCAGGCAGAATCAGGGCCTCCTACTGCATCCCGCGGGACCACTCATCCATCCCGGAGGATTGTACTATCATCCGGCCGGCGGCAGCGCCTTCCACTCGATACACAAGGAGGGTCAGCCGGTCGGCCATCCCCAATCTGGAGGGCCTCATCCTCAGCAGCATCACATCCATCCACTCCAGCTCGAGTGGTTCGCCCGGACCGGCATGTTATACCCGAGACTTCCCGCGGATCTGGCCGGTGAGTAGATGCAATTAATCTAATTAATTACAATGGCTGTTTCGGATAGTTTTATGTTTGCGCATAAACGAATCGTTGTAGCTTTTGATAATATGGAAATACATCAGGAAAGAGAAATGTATTTTGCAAAAATAAAAAAAGTATTATGTTGAAGAAACCTTGAGATATATACCGTTTCATAAATTTTATTTGTAAAAAAATGCATATCTAAATCCATGTCTAATAAAGATAATATTGAAGATGATATTGATAACATTTTTGACGATATTGATTATAATAAAAATTAATTTACGTATTTTAGTTGTTTGAGATTTTTAAATAATTTAATAATTTTTATTAATAAATAATAAGAGATTTTGGAAGATGCATATGTGTAATAATGTACAGCTGCACGTGAATTATAAACCTAATGTGACAAAAATATTCTGAATTACATCACTGTCTATAATAACAAAACCATAAATCATGTTCATCAAATTGAGATTATCAATCACTGCTGATGCTTGTAATTAATTGAATATATCATAATGATTGCCGCGCCGAAGAACGATACAAGCAATTAATCGCGCGATATCTGATGAAAATCACAATAATTATCATTGCTATAAAAAGCGACGCAAATTGAAATCCCCTATTTTATGATAAGATATCATTCGTATGAGCTTTTAAGTGGAATAGTGTAAAAAGAAAGTGTAATTTAACGATATATATCAATAATGATAAATCATGTATTTTAAATAATGATCTAATTATTGTGCGCGCAACGTGGCAAAAAATTTTAAATTCTTTTATTTTTTTTTTTTTAATGTTAACAAAATAATTTTAAAGATTTTTAAGCATTTTATATAAAGAATTTTTGTAAGCTTTTTACATTTCAAAATTAAAACAAAAAATACAATACCTCGTTTCTTTGTTTGTGCGATATGATGGCTTCAAGCGTTATATGTATATTAATTATTTACAAGGTAAACGCGAAAACGGTGTGCAATTAATTTTTAAAAGTAAAAATCCCGAATTCTGATTTCCGGATTATGATAAAAATCCGCGCGATCCAGAATGAAATCGCAAATACTGCAAAAAGCTATTGCAAAAGACGACTCGACCTTCACGTTAAAACCATTAATCTTGTTTCAATGCTTGATAAATTAATGATTCGATAATAATTTGCGAGTATAGCCGATAACGGTCGTTAAAGTCGATAACAATCCTCGTAAATCGCTCTTTCCTAAGCCGACAGTGATGCTAGCGGTGCCGATCCCAGAAAAAAAACACGTTGATTGCGACTTTATCGCCGACTGCGGATCTGCAACAAATAGCGCGCGAGATAGCACAAGAATAGACGTAAGCGAATTCGATTTAAAATAATGTTTAAAATCAAATTTGAAATCATGAATTTTCTAGTAAGAATTTACAGCAATTCTTAATTATCTATTTCCTTATTACATTAGATAACGTCTGCGATTATACTTCGCGAACAGGTAAAAGGAATCTTTATATTTTTCCGTGTATTACGATAAGGATTTATTTTAATGAGAATTTAATTTATCACTTGACAATCAACGAAATGTCGAGCATGCATGATAAATGACTTGCGGTCAATTTTCATGACAGAAAGAGGAAGTAACTAACAATAAGCTTCCTCGTCGGGGAATCCGCGGCAGACGCGTATTGCGCAAAATCGAAATTCCTCGCGTGGGTGAGTGGATCGTCAGGCGATATCGTCGATTGACGGTAACTCATGCGTGGGAGGTTGTGTTATGTTAGCTCTCGACAGCTATTACCAGCTATTAACTCGAAAGTGAGAGGCAACGTCGAAAGACAGATTGCCGCTGCGATGAGCAGATAGTACATGTTTACGCGTCTAATGTACCGCTCCACTAGACCATATTGGCCGACCACACAAATTTTACGATCTCGATAACGGCGATGTGACGCTCGCATGCTCGCGGTTCTCTTCAAACATAGATTTTTGAAATTATCTTCGAAAAACTTAACGTAAAATAACGTACAAATATTACAAAATATAAGATATCAATCGTTCAAAATTTTTTATTTTCTTTATTTTGGATAGAAGATTATGTGCAACAATTATGTTCCTTTTCTATCAGAAAGATAATTTTATTATAGGAAATAAATTTCCTTTATCTTTCAGGGAGTCAGCTAATATTTTCAACTGAAATTTTTGTATTGATTCTCTTGAATAGCATTTCATCTAATAAATTTCGCCAGTTTTTAATTAAACTTTCGCAATTGGTTCTGAAAAATGAAGAAGTGCATTCGTTCAGTCGCCGTTTCCCTACAAAACTTTTATTCACGAGACCGACGAACTGCATCGCTGCCAACTAATTCGCAAACCTTTCCACGAATCACAGAAACCGTCTTAGAAATTCGAAGAAGGAAAAGAGAGAAAGTAGGAGAGAGGGATGATACCAAGTGGCGACGAAGAAATTTGGAAGGTAAAAGGCAAGGGCTCGAGGGAGGAAGGGGTGTGCAACAAGGAGTCTGGTTACCACGGTAAATTTCGCGCTCGGAAAAAAGAGCCGTGGCCGCGTTGTCAGGCCAATCAGTCGAGGGCTTTTATCGAACAAATTGGTCAGTGAACGTATGGCGATGGCGGCGGCGGCGGATACCCCGGGACGGAGGAAGGGAAGCAGAAATGAGAGGCGGAGTGGCGGCGGGGACCCGGGGACGCCGCGGACACAAGTGGCGAACGGTGACGGGTGCGCGGGGTATTTCCTGTCAGATGATCCTGATTGGTAGTTGCCGAGCAATCCAGCGTCGACCAAAAAAGGCGAAAAAAATCGAGCGGTAGCGTAAAACAAGCGCAAAAAAGGGAAAACGTAAAAAAAGAATGAGGGAGAGAGAGACAGAGAGAAAGAACACAAATGCGTGCGCGCGCGCGTGGCACGAAATAAAACGCGCGTCGAATACATCGAATGTGCCCCTGCCGCTGCCACCCCCCTCCCCCCCGCGTGGCATGCTCGTTGGAGGCCATCGTCGGTACACGGCTCGACTTGTTAAAAATTGCCGGCGGCCGCGCGGACCACCCCCGCGCGACGTTTTGTAAATAACACGGGGGGAAGGAAGGGTGACGGGGGAGGGAATGAGAGCGCGGACGGCGAGGGGGATGATGCGAGCTTTTATTTGCGGAATATTTGTCGCGCGTTATGCCCGCGCGCGGCGACGCAACGACAACACCATGTTTCATCTATCCCGTGCCGCGCGTAACGGCGTATCGAAATTTAACTAGCGCGTTATAAGCGGGGTGTGTGCACGTGTCGGGGCCCGCGTATTGCACGATGTACCCCGGTGCCCGAACGGCACCGCCGCCCACCGCACCCCCAAACCTCACGTCACCGTCCGCCGCTACTAGATAGTTATCCATATCGCGTTACGAATGGATGGCCCGCACCGCGACCGCTCTAATTAGCGCGGTTCCGCGGCCATCGATTGCCGCCGCCGAATAGAATGGCCATTGAAACGGAGAAACATCGTCGTTATTATAACGATCGTATTACTGGAATTATATACTAGGCGCAAACATCTTAGAGACAAATTATTTAATTTCGGAATACGTTGTCTCTCGTAATGATATAAGTTGGTAAATAAAAGGTTGAACTAAAATAACCGAAAAGTCATTTTAAGAAACTTTGATCGGATGCTGAAAACTAGTTTAAAGTTTCGAATATCATCTCGACGAAGAAAACGATTTGATAGAAAGCATGAGAAATATTGAGAAAAAATTAAGATCTCAGAAACTCATTTTATATGCATTCTAGAATTTATAAGAGATAATTATATTAAAAAATAAATTCTTTCTTCAAATAGATGTGTTTAATGTTACATAAAAATTACTTGCAATCCATAAAAATTCAATATATTTAGCAAACATCCTCATCATTATTATTCTACGACTTGCAATAAGTTACCTAAGAATGCGAAAATATAAATATTTTACTCTTTCCTAAGAAGTAATGACATAAAACAGAATTAAGTCTAAGTTTCGTTCCCATATGTATTTAATAAAATTGCATCAGGAAAGTCTGCGTTAATGAAATAAATTAATATTATGTAAACTACACGTCGTTCGCAAAGGCGTATTCACATTTTTCACTAACTCGTTCGCACTGGCGTATCTATGTGACAGTTCGGATGTTTTTTTTTCCAGTTGGCACATGTGCATGCGTCAATCAGCAATGATCGACAGTAGTCGATAATTGGCTTTTGGATTAGCGTGCGAAACGTCATCGATTTTCCGATGGTGCGCGTCATATAGGCACGCCAACGATGATTAATCGCTCGCGCGAGTTGAAGTAACAATTGTAATAATTACTGTCCCCCCCGCCAGGAAGGAATAAATTATTCATCACGAATTTATGGCCTTTTTACGCGAAACGCGCGCGCTGAGAAAATCCTTAAGCGTTTTAACGATATTAATTGCAGGTACCGATATCAACGGCAAATATATAAATAATCGTGGAGGGCGCGATAAATCTCGCGTACGATAAAACTGCTAACACGTAATTTTTATTTTCACCGTTGTTTTACATATTTTAATGCCAATGATTTAATGACGGCGAATGTTTAATTTGCCGATTATGGAAATGCAAAATTTCCACGCTGACGTATTATTTCATGCGTCTGAGCGCTTCTTATCTCGCAATACTGCTGGTTACATTATTTTAAAGGCATACGAATACTGCGAATTACTGAATTTAATACGAAGATTAAATACATGTAAACAAGCACGCCAAATAGTTTTTAATTAAATTCTATCATTTTTGTGTGAAAAAATACTACAGTATTTGCCATATATGCACATTTTTTCATTTATCGAGAAATCTTTCTCCCATGTAAATGTAAATCGAGTTACCTCTCTAATGGCCGATGGTCTGTGAAGATATTTTTTCAAGTTAATGGGAGAGTTCTTAGTAGAAGGCACAAACGAAATTAAGGGTGGTTTTATTTACCGAAGGGCGTCGAAGAAAAAGCAGCATTGC